ATTAAAAATGCCTACCCTATCCCCCTCATCACTGAGTTGTTTGATCGCGTTAAAGGTTCTAAGTACTTTACTAAATTAGACCTCAGGGGGGCTTATAACCTTATCCGTATAAAGGAGAATGATGAGTGGAAGACAGCGTTCAATACGCGTAGTGGGCATTATGAATACCTGGTCATGCCTTTTGGACTGTGTAATGCTCCTGCTGTGTTTCAGGATCTCATAAATGATGTCCTTAGGGATCTATTGCATGTCTGTGCCGTGGTGTACCTTGACGACATACTTGTATATTCTCCTGATTTGAAGTCACATCATAATCACTGGTGCCGTCCGCCTCTTCCTCTGTGTCCCCCAGCGGCAGCATGCATGACGCTGCACGCTGGGAGACCGCCCATTTTAACAAACGCCGGGGTCAGTCACCTGACCCGGCGTTAAAGGCACAGTGCCTCAATCACAGTGGGAGGTCTAGATATCTCCCACGTGTGATTGTTAATTCTGATTGGAAATTATCCAATCAGAATTAACCTTTGGATTTATATACTTACCTTTCCTGTTCCTCTTCGCCCTGTTGTGGTCTTTACTTGCTAGTATTGATACTGAACTTGTGTTTCTGGTTACGTACTCTCTGGCTTGTTTATCCGACTTTGTGACTTTCTCCTACCCTTTGACCTCGGCTTGTCTATCGTTATTCTGTCTTCTGGTTCCCCTTTACTCGGCTTGTTTCCTGACTATTCTTTGTGTGCTTAGCCCGGCCACTCTAAGGTCCGGTACGGCACTTTGTGTGTGTGTGTTGGCGTGTTTGGTTCCCACTGAATCATGACAGAAATAATCTCATTTTCCATAATATGAATCTCCTCTTCTATGTTTTTTAAAGATCTTTTTTGAAAGTCAATAAGACTTTGAATATATCTTTTTGAACATTCGTCACTAGCTTTAAACCACTCTTCCATTAATATTTTATCCTCTGTACCATAAGCTGGGGTTTTTAGAACTTTAAGACCCCTAGGGATAATATTAGACGCTATGCATTGTTCTAAAGAAGTTATTTCCCACCATTTTTTGTTTCTTTCTCTAATAAATATTCTAATTTTTCGAATCTTTTAGAAAGAGTGTTATCTCTTTGGATGGTTTGTTGGTGGAACAATGCGTTGATTCTTTTATTGCGTTCCTGCCGCATTTCATGATACACATTATTAGATGCCATATGAGTACACAATACAGTAACAAGTGAGGAACAATGACCAAAAAATTTTACTATATAGTACCCCAAAAAGCCAGAAGATAGTGCTAACACCCAAAAAGTGTACCTCACTTACACCAATCCAATATACAAAAAAACAAACAAATGTTTTTTTGTATATGTCTGGTTACTGCTTTCAAAATCTTCCTATTTCCCTAGCTTTATTTCAGGGCAAACAAGAAAAACTCACAGGCACTCCAAATGTGAAGCCGCAGGCAGATTTATTGCAACAAAATGCACAGCAATGTTTCGACCTAAAGAGGTGAATATGAACACTATATCATAATACACAGTGCAACTGAGACCAATGAAAATATTCATGTGTACATGTAAAAGATGAGTAACAAGTGTTACTATAATAAAGTGCAAACAATAATAAAGTGCACGTGCAACATTACAAATATATAGAGATATATAAAGTGCCATCATAATTCATGGGTGGATGCCTCTGATGTTCACGCCCCTCACCTGGTTTGTTTATTTGAGAAGCGTCGTTCACACGGGTCTGGTTCTGCCTGCCCTGTGGGCGATTCTCGAGGGGGGCTACTGTAACGATCACTTACCTTTCCCCGCCGAACCCGCGCAGTGCTGCGTTCTCTCTCCATACTTCCGGGAGGTGGCTCAGTCCTTCTGATGCCAGCCACTCGCAACAAGCCCATTTTTATGACGCGGCGCATGCGCGCCGATGTCAGCAAAATAGTGCCGCCAAAATTCAAATGTGGCCATGCTCCTGGACCTTTTGGGGGCGTGGCTTTAAAGTTAAAGATCCCACACTATAAAAAGGCAACCATGGCACTTGTTAGGCACCCTAGTGTGGTTCTTGTTTGAGTCCTCTAGCGCTCTTCATATTCTGATTGTCTTTTTTGGTATCTGACTCTTGGCTCCCACTCTGACTATTCTGTTCTCTGGTTTCCCATTATTTTGCCTGGGATTATCGTGTGCCCGTCTTCTGTATTCCCTTGACCTCTGGCTATTCCTTTGACTTCTCTCAGACACAAGTCCGGCCACTCTAAGGTCCGGTAAACGTCTTCCTCTGGGTTTCACTCTGTGTGAAAGGGTCGCTGTCGTGACACTCACTAACAGACACACACTAACTAACACACACTAACACACTCAGCAACAGACACACACAGTAACACACTCACTGACACAAAAACTAACACAAACAGACACACACTAACAGACACACAAAAAACTAACACACAACTAACACACTCAGTAACAGACACACAGTAACACACTCACTGACACACACACACATACACATTTTGTGTTTTTTATTTATTTTCCCAGCCTCCCTACCTCCTACCTTTGGGAGTGCTGAGGGGATTCCAGCTTTCCCTTGGGTTCAGTGGGGCTGCTGGGTGGCCAGGCCGGTCACTGCAGGCAGCGAAGAAGCACTGATCCTCCTGTACCGCCGCTTACTGATGCCGGAGCCGGAGTGACGTCATATTCCAGCTCCGGCATCACTGCGGTGTGCGCAAGGGAGTTGGGCAGAGAGAGCTCAGGGGAGAATGCCCGCCCGCAAAGTGACCCAACCGCCAGCCTCGGGGGGCCCTGAGGTGGCCAGCTCCTGGGCCCCCCAGGAGAAGAGGCTGGCAAAATGCAGCTGTGGCCGCACTGGTGTACATACCTGAGTCGCAGGGCGGCCGGGTCCCTTGGAGGGCCGGACCTGGTCTCAGTTGCGACCCCAGCGACAACAGTATGGACGCCAGTGCCCTGAGGTACCCCACTGACAGCAAGACCATACTTCGAATATACTCCATTGACTACAACCCTCTGTTGCCTGTCACTCAACCACTGCCTTACCCATTCAACAATATTGGAATCCAAACTTAAATATTGCAGTTTATTGATAAGCCTTCTATGTGCAACAGTGTCAAAAGCCTTACTGAAATCTAGGTAAGCAAATGTCTACTGCACCACCCTGATCTATAATTTTAGTTACCCAATCAAAAAAATCAATAAGATTAGTTTGGCATGATCTCCCTGAAGTAAAACCCATGTTGTCTCTGATCTTGAAATCCATGTGTTTTTTTTTTTTCATAGTGTATACAACGAGTATTCAGCGGGTTACAGGATAATATATTTGTACTTTAAAGTTATACAGTAACATCATCTGTCTCCGTGTACTATGTAACATTTTATCGAAGCTGGTTTGCAATTACTCTTCAATTGGGTTGGTATTACAATTCAAATAAACATAACAAAGGTATATACACAAACAAATATACAGGCAAATCATAATAGTTTGTATCCAGCATTTCCTGCGTACTTTGGCCATGTCAACTCACATAAGTCACCGTCCATGTTTCCCTGGGCCGCCCTGACTCTTCTGGGTCCCCTCCTCCCCTCTCACCCTCCCTGGTGTTTCTGTCTCTCATACCATGTCTCCCAGATATTCCAAGTGTTTTTGAACCTTTCCGTGGCCCTGGCGTTGTCAGTGGACATTTTCTCGTATATATAGAATTGTTGTATTTTGTCTGCCAATTGGTGGATGGCTGGGCAGCGAGGTGTTTTCCAGTTTAGAGCTATCAGGTTTCTAGCGGCCATTAAAACTATCCCTATCAATTGTGTGTGGTTTTTTTGTGTTGTTTCGGGGAACAACAAGAGTAGGCAGGTCATTATGTCCATGGGGAAGTCTCTAATGCCGAGATCTTTCAATAGGGTCTGAACATCTCCCCAGATAGGTTGTATCCCTCCACAATGCCACCATATGTGTGGCAGGGTTCCCTCTTCCACACCGCATCTCCAACATTTGGTGGAAACGTCTGGGTACATTCTGTGTAGTCTGGTGGGTGTCATGTACCACCTATATAGTAGTTTGCGATGCGCTTCAATATGTGAGTAGCACTTGGTCCACTTTTTGATCCCATTTAGGGCCAGCATCCACCTTTCCTCTGTCATGACTGTCCCCCCCTCAGTCTCCCAGTGCTGTTTGCATGTCATCGGTTTTTGTGGTGCTAGGTCAAGCCATGCTTTATAGCAAAGTGATAGGGCTTTGGGTTTCATCGGGGCTGTCCAGCATCTGTGGGGTATCAGTCTCGCTGCTACCGCAGGAGTAGGCCCAGTGTGAGGTGTGCCCTTGACGTGTGTGTTTATTGTGTTTTTCAGTTGTAAGTAGGGAAAGATATCCCTCTCCGGGACCTTCCATCTGTCTCTGATGGCTGGGAAACTCATGATCGTCTGGTCTGTACACAGTTGTTGGATTTGGGATATACCTAAGCGTGACCATCTGTTTAGTGGGATCGTAGGATTCACTGCATGTAGTGCAGTAAGGGGAGCTTCAGGGTGAAAGTGTTTCCTCCAGCCCAGGGAGGACATAAAGTCGTCCCATACTCTGACCGTTGCGAGTGTGGTGGGGTATAGAGTTACTTTGGGGCCTCTTAGTGTTCTCGGCGTCCATAGGTAATTAAGCAGTGAGGTGTGCTTAAGTTGGTCTTGTTCCATATCCACCCACTGTGTTACCCCCTTTTGGGCGTGTATGTGTATACTCGTTGCTAGGATAGAGGCTTTGTAATAGAGTCCAATGTTGGGCATGCCTATACCCCCCGTTTGGGTCGTCCGTTGTAGGAGACCTAGGGGCAGCCTGGGTTTCTTACCCCCCCAGATGAAGGAGTTGCATATGGCTTGTAACGATTTGTGGATAGCGGCTTGGATGTCTATTGTGAGCATGCGGAATATATATAGTAACCTTGGCAAAAGCATCATCTTATATGCATTCACTCGGCCCAGCCAGGACAATTTTGCATTCTTCCATTTATGTATTTCCGTGGTGCATAGATGTATGAGGGGCTTATAATGAAGCTTTACTATGTTGCTAATAGGAGCGGCGATTTTAACCCCTAAGTACGTTATAGATGTTGTTCGCCAGTCGAGTTCAAAGGAGTTCTTAAGGGTAGTTACATTTGGCCCTGGTAGGTTTATCGGTAGGGCTTGTGTTTTCTCCTTATTCAGACGGTAGTATGATATTCTACCATAGTCTGTCAGTAGAGTTAGTAGAGGGGGCAGCGATTGTTCTGGATTTGAAAGCGCCACGAAAATATCGTCTGCAAACATCGCCAGACAATATTCCCTGTCCCCCAGTGTGATACCGGTTATGGCCTGGTGTTGTCTTATCTTCCAAGCCAAGGGCTCCAGGGAGAGTATGTATAGCAGGGGGGATAGTGGGCAACCCTGGCGTGTCCCATTCGTAATGTGGAAAGTGCGTGACAGGAAGCCCCCATGGGAGACCTTAGCACTGGGTCGTGCGTACAGAGCCAGGATTCCCCTGATAACCTCTTCGGGGAACTGATACTTGCACAGCACTTGTGTCATATATTGCCAGTTAAGTCTGTCAAAGGCCTTTTCGGCGTCCAGCGCCAGGAAAAGACCTCCGATTTGTCCCCTCTCCATTCCCGCTATTATGTTTAGCACTTTCCTCGAGTTATCAGAGCCTTGTCGGCCCCTCACGAATCCGGACTGGTCATTATGTACTAATTTATGTAGCAACGGTGCCAATCTTTCGCTAAATAGTTTTGCGTAGATTTTGGCATCACTATTTAACAATGAAATGGGCCTGAAGTTTTTACATTGATCTGTATTTTTGCCCGGTTTGGGAAGTGTGGAGACATGTGCCATTGTGACTTCTTCTGGCAATGCCCCTTCTGTCATGCAGTGGTTAAATAGAGCGCCAAGAGGTTGCGCTAGGGTGTTAAGGAAGGTGCGGTAATATTTATTGGGCAGGCCATCAGGTCCCGGTGCTTTATGTAGTGGGAGCGTAGAGATCACCGAGGTGATCTCTTCGGTCGTGAAGGGTTTGTTAAGTTGATCCGCCTCCATCTGAGATAGGGTAGGAAGGTCGATTCCTGCCAGGAAAGCGTCAATATCTGCTTTAGAGGGGCAGACTGTCTGTGGGTCATCTTTCAGATTATATAATTTTTCATAATAATGGGCGAATTCGTCCACTATCCCCTGTGGGTTTAAAATTAAGGTGCCCCTGGAATCCTTGATGGAGGCAATTTTTGAGTTAGCCGTCCTCTGTTTCAATTGGGCAGCCAGCCGCGCTCCCGCTTTGTTGCCTGTAGCAAAAAAGCTGTGTTTAAACTTGCGCATGAGGGATGTGGTTTTGGCCAGTTCTAAATCTCTGAGCTGCGATTGTAAGCGCAATAATTCGGTATGTGTGGCTGCTGTGGGGGTGTGTTTGTTGGTGTGAGTTAGGGAGGTTAGTTCAGAAAGTATGGCTGTGTAAGCTTCTAGTCGCTTTTTTTTTGCGTAGCTGGCGTGCTTGATGAAGCTGCCTCTTATGAAAGCTTTATGCGCCATCCATATTTGGGGTAGAGGTGAGTCTGGGGTTTTGTTTTCTTTAAAATAAAACTGTAGATCTTGTTCTATTTGGTTAACTATGGCAGGGTCAGCGAGTAATTGTTCATTGAGTCTCCAACTGCCTCTTCCTGAGTTGGGGAATTGTTCCCTAAGCTGTAGTGTAATAGGGGCATGGTCCGACCATGTAATAAGGCCTATGTCTGTGCGCTCAACCTTTATGATGGAGGAGGTGCGGATCAAAAACCTATCCTATTCTCGAATAAGTCTTATGCGCTGCTGTGTGGCATGTGTAGTCCCTCTCTGTGGGATGGGTGACTCTCCATGGGTCTACAAGATTGTGCGGTGTTAGTTTGTTGCATATTAGTGTGGCTAGTTTGG